AGCGAGGGATAGGCCCTACAAGGACTATGGTAGAAGAAATGGCCAGCGATCTGCTCGCTGCGCGCGGTGAAGGACCTGTTGGCAAGAACTAGGTAGAAAGGTTTAGAACGCGTACTAAGGAAGTTAAGCTTCAACGCAGCTGTCTATACAATTGTTAACAAGCCCTAAATAAAGACGCACGCGTTATAGAGCCCTGGTTTAAGCTAGTAAGAAGAACAAAGAAGAAGTATAGGATCCTAGATAAAGACACACACAACTTTAATAAGTCTAGCTTTATAATAGGCATAATTGCTGCTTAAATGGTCTTTACAGGCTCTAAGAAGCAAAGCAATCCTAAGAAGATATAGCTAGGCAACTGTGACTGGGTCACAATCATCTAGGGCATCTGCGCTGACGGATGGGCTATCCCACCCTTTATTATCTTTGGCGGCAAGGTCCTTATATCAAGCTAGTATCCAGGACTACCTCACAACTAGGTATTTAAGACTAGCGCTAACGGCTGGACAACAAATAAGCTTGGCCTGAAGTGGTTAAAGCACTTTACCGCGCATACAAAGGAGCGTACTGTTAGCGTGTACCGTCTGCTAATTGTGGACGGCTATGAGAGCCACAACAGTTACTAATTCCTTAAGTACTGTGAGGAACAGAAGATTATTACTCTCTGTATGCCTCCTCACTCGTCGCACCTGTTGCAGCTGCTTGACGTGGGCTGTCTTGCCCCTTTGAAGCGCGCGTACTCTGCTAAGATTGACAGCTGGGCAAGGTACTCTATCACACAAGTTAAGAAAGAGACCTTCTTACCAGCCTTCCATATTGCCTTTGACAAGGCAATTACAAAGAAGAACATCTTAGTAAGCTTTAAAGGCGCTAGCTTGTTTCCTCACAACCTAGAGCAGGTGCTATTAAAGCTTAATGTGGTGCTTCGTACGCCAACACCTGCACTATCAGAGACCACCCTGTGGGAGTCTAAAACACTAGCTACTATAAAGGAGATAGAGGCGCAATTAACGCTTGTTTGTGAGCGCATAGAAAGGCACAGAGAATTACTAATCTCTCCTCTTCTACAGGCTATTAATTCGCTTGCAAAAGGCATAGCTATTATAGGTTATAATTCAGTGTTGCAGGCGCAGGAACTAGCAGGTATTTGCAAGGCAATAGCTACTATAACAGAGCAGCATAGTTGCAAAAGAAAGTATATTCAGGCAGAGAAGAGTCTAATAGGAGGTAACGTACTAGATTTAAAAGCTAAGAAGGACTGTGGTGGTAGGGAGGCAGCTGAACAGGGTGCAAAGAGGGTGCGCAAAGACAGGCACTGCAGACATTGTGGCAAGATTAGCCACAACTCACGCACCTGCACTGCAGAAATTGTAGATTAAGATAAAAGCAATGCTTTTAAATAGTACTATAAGGCACAGTATGTTTGTGCGCAGTACTGTGGTGGAAAGTAATGGTCTGTAATAGTCGCAAAGTTCGTAGGGCCGCGCGACTCGGTGGTGAAACACGTTATCTGATATCTTAAGAAACTGAATTTAAAGTATCTAACACGCTAAGAAAGTCTACAAAGTGCCTAAATAAATAATCTAATACTAACATAACAGAACACACTCTTAACACAAATGCGAGCTAAATGCGAAGCGCCTTACAAGGCTAGAAGAGGAGGCAGTTATACTACGTATACTTGAGGAGTCTGCGCGTGGCCTACCATCCTTAAAGGCAGACATACAAGATATGGCAGATAAACTGCTAAGAGAGCGCGGCACAAAGCCTGTTGGCAAGAACTAGGTTGACAACTTAGTAAAGCGTACACCAGAGCTCTAGAAGCGGTGGACCCGCCTATATGATCGCCAGCAGGCTGCCTGCAAGGACCTAGCAGTTATCCAGCCCTAGTTCACGCTTGTTTAGTCTATAAAGGCAAAGTATAGTATTATAGACAAGGATGTGTACAACTTTAATAAGTCCAGCTTCCTAATAGGCAAGATCTTATTATAGCTAGTAGTAACAGGCTTAGAGAAGCCTACAAAGTAGAAGAAGATCTAACCTAGTAATTATAAGTAGGTTACCCTAGTACAAGGCGTTAGGTTAATAGGGAAGGTTATCCTACTATTTCTTATCCTTGCAGGCAAGGTTCTTATCTCTAACTAGTTTACTAAGGACCTCCTATAGGACTAGGTTAATAATGTTAGTCCTACTAACTAGACTAACAATAATTTAGCACTTGCCTAGCTCTACTACTTTAATACGCATGCGAAGCTAGTTAGGGTCTACCAGCTACTTATTATTGACAGCTATAAGAGCCACTGCTTAGTGGCTTTCTAAGATCTCTGTAGAGAGAAGAAGATAATCACTCTCTGTATGCCCCTGCACTCGTCGCACCTGTTGCAGCCACTTGACGTCGCCTGCTTCTCGCCACTAAAGCGCCTGTATAGCGATAAAGTTTCAGCCTTAGCACGCAGTTGCAACTACTATATTAACAAGGAAACCTTCCTGCTAGCCTTTAAATTAGCGTTTAGTAAGGCGTTCACTAGAGAGAATATTCGCGCAGGCTTTAGAGGTGCTAGGCTAGTCCTATATAACCTAGAGGTGGTGTTATTAAAGCTTAATGTGCGCCTGCGCACGCCAACGCCACCAAAACCCAGCAACATTGCCTGGGAGCTGAAGACACCACGCACTGCTTACAAAGTAGAGGAGTAGTTAACTCTAATTTAAAAGTAGATTTAAATCTATTAAGGGTCTCTAGCAAGTTTGTTAGATAAGCAGGTTAAACAGTTAGCAAAGGGCGCTTAGCAGATAGCTTATAATATAGTGTTAATACAGGAGGTAATAGGCTACCTTTAAGACGCTGTAGAGGCGTCTATAAAGCGCAAGACCTGTAAGTAATAATATATACACGTAGAGGAGACCCTTATATGTAGCAAAGTAGCTAACTTAATTACTAAAAAGGAGGGTAGGGGTTATAGTAAGGGTAAGAAGCCTGTAAAGAGGGTGCGCGTTAGACAACGCTGTAGGTATTGCAGTGAGATTAGACACAATTCCTACACTTGCAAGGTAGAAATAGAGGACACAGATAATAGTAAAGCTTCTAAATAATACTATTTAGGCCTGCAAACAATTATTTATTTGTGTTGTGTTGTGTCGCAGCAAGGATCGAGGTGAGGGTGCATATCACGTGATCCGCATCTGGATATTGGACCGATCAGACACTGGCGATCTATCACGCCATGGTGAGCGGAATCGGGTATAGCTTGGAGCCGTGACTAGGGCTCCAATTAGGGTATAGCTGGATGAGTATCGGTGTATATATTCTGCTCATTCCGTACTGTAGATAGAACAAGGAACTTGATCACTTTCTTCACACTTGATCAACGATCAGAGACCACTCAGCTTCCACATGTTGTGATATAGCGCTGCGCAGGCGTTCTGTTGTTGAAAGTGCGGCGCTCAGTTGGGTGCGGCGCTCGCTTGTGAAACACATTACACGCTATTATAATATAATAGAATAATAAATAAATAGTTTAACTAACCTAAACTATCACCGAGTGTCCCACATCACCGAGTGTCCCAAAACTTGCCAAGCCCTCTACCTACTCTCTCTCTCTAACATGCCTCAACTACCAAACGCGTTATTACTTGAACATGAAGGGAGGCTTCAGCTTGCTATTGAAGCCTTGAAATCCAGACAATTCTAAAGCCACCAGGCTGCTGCAGAGGCATTTAACATTGATCGCTGTACACTCTCTCGTCGCGTCCAAGGACTCACATTTCGCGCAGAAGCTGCCCCCAACTGCCAGAAGCTCACTGCGACTGAACAGCAGACGATCATCTGATACATACTCGACCTCGACTTGCAAGGATTTGCGCCCTGGCTGTGCGAGGTGGCAGATATGGCTGATAAACTGCTGGCTGTACGCGGTGGCAAGCCTATTGGCAAGTGCTGGGCTGATCGCTTTGTAACGCGCTCGCCTGAGCTCAAAATGGCCTTTAATTGAGCAAAGGATAGGCAGAGAATACTCTAGGAGGATCTAGAGATAATTGGCGCGTGGTTTAAGCTAGTGGAGGAGACTAAAGCCAAGTATGGCGTTCACGATGACGACGTGCACAACTTTGGTAAGACTAGCTTCTAGATGGGCGTGATTGGCTCCATGAAGGTCGTCACAGGTGCAGAGAGACGCGCCCGACCTGCGCTTGTTCAGCCAGGCGATTGCGAGTGGGTTACAGTTATCTAGAGCATCTGCGCTGCTGGGTACGCGACCCCGCCCTTCATTATCTACAAGGGACGCGTCCACATCTCTGCCTAGTATGAGGAGGCTTTAATACCGCGTAATTGGAAGCTCTTAGTCTCTGAGAACAGCTGGACAAACAACGCGCTTGGTCTAGAGTGGTTGAAGCACTTTAACACGCATACAAAGACGCACTAGGTGGGGGGGTACTGGCTGCTTATTTTAGACAGCCATAAGAGCCACCTTAACCAGCATTTCAAGGACTACTGCCTTGAACACAAGATCCTAACCCTCTGTATGCCCCCCCATTCATTGCACATCCTCTAGCCGCTTGATGTGGTCTGCTTCTTGCTGCTGAAGCGCAGGTACTCCCAGCGCGTCAGAGACTTGGCACGCTAACGCGTCTTCCATATTAACAAAGAAGGCTTCCTCCCTGCCTTTAAGGACGCGTTTTTTAATGTGTTTACAGAGCAGAACTGTTAAAAGGCTTTTAAGGCAGCAGGGCTAGTCCCAATCAACGCGCAGGTTGTATTAGATTGCCTTAAAGTGCAGCTGCGTACCCTGCCAGAACCCCTCCTCCTAGAGACGCTATAGCAGTCAAAGACTCTAAGCAATACCTATAAGTTTAGATCTCAATCAAAGCTTGTACGCGATTCCTTTACTCGCTTGCCTGTTACAGCTTAGGCTGGTTTCTCCCAGCTTATAAAAGGTGGTGAGCTGATGCTGCATGAAAATGCGCTTCAACGTGCTCGGATCCATGAGCTTGAAGAGCAATTAGCAGAGATGACCAAGCGAAAATCGCGTAAGCGCAAGCGGATTCAGCAGGGTGGTACTATGGAGTATGGGACTGCTGCAGCGCAGGTAGCTGCTGAGGCATCTATAGCGCCTCAGCGATCCAAGAAGGCTTGTGGTGGTAGTGGTCAAGAACTAGCCCAACCAGCTCTTCAGCGCTGTGGTAGGCTGGCGGATGGGTAGGGTATGCTTTTTTACGTTTTGGCTTATAGCTTCTTAACTAGCAGAGATACGCTTACATAATCTA